TTGCCACTACCAGAAAGCTTAATTCCCTTCCTCTTTTTTTTCTCTCTTTTTCTCCCCCTCCCTCCCTCCATTCCTCACTGATCTCCCCCCTCCCTTCATTCCATCCTTCTTTTTTTCCTTTAGAGAGTCCACATGAACTTTGGTTTAAAAAGACTAATTCCAGTCTTTTATAACCAAGCCTAGAACTCAATCCGATATGTAAAAACAAATTTGAATGCTTCATCTATTTCATTTGAAAGGCTAGGAGAAGGGCATATTTTAGGGGAAACAGATTAAACCAAGAAAAATGACTTTGGCTAGCTTGTTTAGCCTTGTTAGACCACAGATTCCTCATTAGGGAAATAGGTTATTGAACTGCATGCTTCTTACCTGACTTCTGGCTCTAAAATGTCATGGTTCTATTTTTCTGTTGTTTTTAAAAATATCTTGAGGTCTTTCAAATGCCTAGTAACTGTGTGTGCATGTGTACTACCATATGCTAGTAAGTAGTCATCATCAGGATGGCCAAATTTATTAAAGCTTGATCTAGATAAATGGTCCAGTAAATCAAGAAATACTATATTTGAATGAAGTCTCAGAAACAAGTGTTTACACAAATATATGATTAGATGTTCTCCATCCTTACATTGAAAATACTATTCTACTCTTTTGAGAAAGACTTCATGAAAGGAATGGAGTTTGAAGGAATTTTTAAATTTTTGGTTTATCCTTAGATGCCCAGAAGAGGTTTGTGTAATTTAACACTCCCTTGTTTCCATGGCTTTCCAAGTAAAAAGAAGGAACTTAAATGCTTTCCTTGCTGGATACTAAGAAAAACATATTTCCCTATCCTTTTGAGAGGAATTAGTGAAATTATATTAGAAAGAGCATTACCAAATCAGATGTCCTGCCTATTTAAATTTTACCCATGTAATTATGTGTTTATCATCCACTTCCTAATTGAATGGATATATATCTTCTTTTAAAAATTTACACAAACATTATCACATGTCCTCATTAGACAATTATAAGCTATCAATCATGATTTGGAGTTGTATGGTATCTGGGTAAAATATAAAACAAATTATAAATATCTTAAAAGAACAGATCGAACAGAAGTATTTATTAGGAACATAAACAAGATGAGGCAAATCCCCAAAGAACATGTAAAATGAACTAATGCACCATGCTAATAAGAATCAAAGGGTTACAAATGAAAATGTGCATTTGAGTGACATTGATACCACCTTTAGTGGCCTCTTAACTTGCCTCTTAAAATTTGACCAGCTTTTTGTTTTTCCACTGAAGAAATTTAAAAAAGAAAACACCACTATTGAATATAATCAGCTTGCTCTCTGCCTTGTCTTTGTGGACCTACAAAATCCAGCATGAAGTCTAATACGGAAATTTTGATCTCCTTGATCTTTCTGACAGAGTTAAAAGGAAGGTAAAAGATTGGTGTTTTATTATGTAAAGGCAGTATTGCATCGCCTGTTGCCTCAAACATCACTTTTTTTCAATTGAGAATTTCCAAAGAACGGCATAAACCAGGATGGTGCAGTTATAGGCAAAATTTCACAACGGTATGTGCTAAATCCTGATTAAATATGGAGAGATGAGTTCTTAGAGTGAGGCAGTCACATTCTAAGTATCATTAGAATATTTAGAGTAAATTTCAACATGTTCTTCCTACTCTTTATTTCGCTTTAGGGTTTCTTACCTCCAGGAGAGATGTAGAAATAGTTGAGTTGAGCTTCATGCACCAAAGTACCCTTAAACTTGACCTCCGTGTCGGCAGACAGGTGGCTGGGAAGCGGCTGGTATGCAGGCGTCCCAGGCTGAACAAAGGCTCGAAGCATTGTGAATTTCCAGTTGTATATTAATTGGTTGATTTTTAAAGCTAAATAATTATCCTGCTCATGATCTCTTGTAATTTTTTAAAACCCAGAAGCCATTCCTGCAGTAACATTTCAGTGCCACAAAAGTTTACATGGCCATATCATATCGCTGCAAGTTTAGGTTACAGTAAAATTACTTTTAAATTTTAGAATTCTAAACAAAACAAAACAAAACAAAACACCTTCTTGCTTGATTCTTTTCAACCTTGTATTTTCTGTCTTCCCTGCTCTGCTCCCTGCCTATGTAGGGATGGGCCTCTCACCCAGTGGCTTTACGGGAAAACTTGGATTGAAATGTGAACTTCATGGTTTCTGTCAGCCTGTCAGCTCATCACCTCCCTAAGGCATGATGATCTCTGGCTTTTATATATCTCCACAGACTGCTTTGATAGACCCTCTTGTGTGGAAGAGTGATAGGTTTGTCCAGGGGTTGGTAGACCTTAGGGCTAAGAGGCAGGAAACTTCAGTCGGAATGCGAACTTTAATGGAATTCACAGCCTCTTTCCCAGGGGAATGCAGCTCAAGTTGCAAAACTATTTTAGGGAGAAGAAAGTTAGGCCCAGTTCTGCATTTTATCTTGGTGCCACTTTTTGATAGCCAGAACTCTTGGTTAATGTTTCTTTTTCCTCCTTGGCTATTTAAATTTTCTGTCCAGACTAAACTGGGATCAAGAGAGTTATCTCAAAATGATCTCATTTTAATTTTTAAAGCCATGTTGCTTTGGAGATAAATGATTGGGTCCTAAAGAAGTCTTCACAGTGTCTTCAATAATTACTGCAAACTCAGTCTTTCCTTCATTTTGCTTTGACATCTGAAAGATGTTCCATGGCATTTTCCCTCCCTAAGTCTGCATTTCAGTTATCTCGTGGTAATGACAATGTCAGACTGTTTTTCTATTTGTATCAACAGTTTTCTTGGCATCTCACCCTTACAAAAGCCTAATTCCTTATGTCAAATGCCACAAATGTATAACATCAAACAAAAGATACCCAAAATATTCCTATTAATAGAGGCTACTCATGAGGCAACAATGGCCGGTTTTTCCTCTGCCGTTTGGCCTCGTGTTTCTGAGTTATGCTCTATTTTTCTCCCTTACTGCCACCTTTCTCCTTTGATAGTTTTGGAAAAGTCAGTCTTCAAGGAAGGAAAACTTACACTGTAACCAAAAAGATAGACCAGGCTTCTAGTTTTGTGACTAAGGTTAAAGTCACCAAGACACACAAACATATTCAGATTTATTAAGTGGTTGAACGTCAGTGATCCAGTCTGCTTTGACTTCAAGAATGTGAGGGTAGGCAGGTTAGTGTGGGAATCTGTGTAGGGAATCAGAGTAGGGAATTACTGTTGATGGACTGGAAGCAACCTTGAATATGAAGTTTCAAGATACACATTCAATGATCTTGAGGTAAAAGAATTTTGTTTTGATGTAAAACCTCTCAGCACATGGGCTTCAGAACTCAGATGTTCTTTTAAAAAAAAAAAAAAAAAAGTCAGTGTACCAGGGAGGAAAATGTGTATGTATTTTCACCTAAGAGAGTAAAATGGTCCTGTTCAAGGAAAAGCTGGAATCTTTTCCCCTACTTCCCCCCTACTTCACATGCAGGTAGGTAAGATAAGATAAAAGACTTCTGGTACACCGATAATCGCAAAACAAAGTTTAAAGCCCTATTGCCTCCTTTCGGCAAGTTAGTCATTCAGATTCATAGGTTCCTCTTTAAGATGCCTGCTTAAAATAGCACTACACAGACCTTTCTTGTACCTTTGGATATCTGAATCATTACTGACGAGAAGCAGAAATTCCATGCCCACACACTGGTCAGGTAAGAGGAGAAAAAAGATGTAGTTAGAATATCACAGCTGTTTTAACAGCAAAACACTATTAATATAATTACATGTTTGGAAAGTTTGAATTTGAAGTCTTTTTTCCCTTTTAAAAACATGTTTTGTTGGTTTTCATTGCTCTATCATAATATTGTTGCTATTTTCACTGAAGATTTTTAAAATGTGTATGTAGTTAATACATTACTTAGATGATTAATGCCATCAGATCCTCAGCTAGATATTTATAAACATCTTTTGAAGCTGTTTCAGCCTTTACTATAAAAATGATATAGATAGGCACGTACTAAAGTGTACAACTTATTTGAACGTTATTAAATGAATCAATAGCAGGTATATTATGTCACAGTTCCTTTCATTACTAAGTGATGAAATCATAGTCATGTCTAATCTTTCAGCAGTTGTAAATTTTCTGTACCGTTTTGAAGCTAGAGATTTATTATTAAATTTTATTTTTTCCAGTGGCCTATCCCTAACTTACAGCTTTCAAAGCCAGTTTTTCAGTTAACATGTTCCTCAGAGAAGGAGAAGGGGAGGGAGGCTTCCAGGCATAATTTGAGTATCAGGTGAATATTTAAAAATAAAGATGAAATGTGTTTATGAATGTGCAAATGGAGTGTGGAAACAATGATATCTCGAAGCCAGGAAGTTTAGAAATTGTGATTTCATTTTCAATCTGTATTCATTTGCTTAAGAAAATTTTACCAAATGCCTATTGTGTTCAGGTGCTATATTTTTAAGGAGAACACAGTTTATTGGATATGTGTGGGTATGTATCTTTGCTCAAAACCACCACAGATTTCTCTGTGGACTTAAATTTCGATGCTTTTTTTTTTTTTTTTTTTTGAGACAGAGTTTCGCTCTTTTCTCCCAGGCTGGAATCCAATGGCACGATCTTGGCTCACTGCAACCTCCACCTCCCAGGTTCAAGTGATTCTCCTGCCTCTGCATCCCGCGTAGCTGGATTATGGGCACCTGCCACCACGCCTGGCTACTTTTTTTTGTATTTTAGTAGAGATGGGGTTTCACCACGTTGGCCAGGCTGGTCTTGAACTCCTGACCTCAGGTGATCCCAAAGTACTGGGATTACATGTGTGAGCCACTGTGCCTGGCTTGACACTGCATTTTTAAGCTTTAACCCCAATGATTGTTTTTATTTATTCAATAATTATTGAATAAATCAATTCAATACATAGATTATTATGTATTTAAGATGGAAAGGAGATTTTTTTCTATTTTGTAGTTTTGAAGACGCTCATAATTTGTTTGATGTGTTTTTTGCAGTGTCCATCTATGGAATTTGGTTTTATGATAAGGAGGAATGCCAAAGAATTGCAGAGCTTATGAAAAAGTAAGTACTAAACGGCTAAATATTTTTCAGGACCTGGTACTTTTGTTTGTATTTCTAAGTGTGTGTAACTATACTATACTCAACAGAATATATCTCCCACAGCAGCCCTTTTCACAGTGGTTAGGCAGACATTTAGTATTAATTAATAAATGAAAAATAGACATAAACAACTTGCCACATTTTCACTAGGTCATATTTATCATCTAGAATGATTCATTTTTTTCCTGTGTGTGAAATATATATGAATTGTTCCAGATGGCAGTTTTCTTTAATATTTTCATTTGTAAATTAGCAATTTTTTGCTTTGAAAAGTTATCAATATGCCTGTCAGTAAAAAGAACATTCAGAGCCATCCTAAATGCCTGCTCCAGATTCTGTAAAATCTTTCATCTCCTTCCTCCCCAAAGTGCTTTCCTTTAACTGCGTCTACGTGTTCGTGGGAGCTCAGAAGTTCCTCCCGTGTCTCAGACACTGAGTTAAGGTAGTCTTTATTTCCAGTGTCCTTAGAAATTGCTGAGTTACTGTTAGCTTCGTGACCAGCTGACCGTCTCTCTCTTCCTGGTTACTAGTCTCTTTCTTTTAATCTCGTGATACCTTGTGATTGGTCCCATTCTGCATTTTGGGCAGCTTTAAAATTGCTGTCTGACTGTCCCACTCTTGGCTTCCCTGATTGCATTGGAAGAGGAGGCTTGCTCTCTGCTCTACAGTTGGTTGACTGATCAATTTCTGAGCCCAGGGCTGCTCACTGTGAGGCAGTTATTTCCCTGCCATTTATGGGGATGGGTAAGAGCCTCAGAGTGAGATGAGTTTCCTGCACATGCTGTGTCACAGCCTGGGACTGGACTCAGCCAAGCACATAGGATGGCTGCTGCCACATGACACTGTAGCTCTGTGTGCAAAAGAATCAGTCCCACTTTTAAATCCTGGGGCAATGAAATGACTAGAAAGTGACCTCACAGAAATGAAAAACAGGGAGCACCTTTTAAGAAATGAGATAGATTCCTGAAAGGCTAGCTAGAGACAGCTAACTTTAGGTAACTAGCTCAAGGTGCAGATGGTGATTAAGTGTATTCAAACTGGTATTTACCACCGTAACAACTAGTTCTAGAACATTCGTGTTACTGTAAATTGTGCAGTGGATAGTAATAGTAGGATTTCATACAGAGATTTAAAAATACCCTGTCGCTCAGCCAAGAGGCCACGTTAAAATTGTCAGCATTCTGCAGTAATTACCTAACAACTCGGGCAGGAAATTGATTATTTACTAGCAATAAGCAGCTGATTGGTGTGGGTTCAGACTCCCTCCCTAGTTAGAATTAAGTCTCTCAGTAAGTACTCACATCTTTGTTACCATAAACTTCATGGCAATAATAAGAATGTGAGCTGAAAGTCACAGCACATAAAGGGAAAGTACATTTTCCTCGGCATCACCTAGCAGCATATAGGAGCAATCTGGTCTCTCTCTGTATTGTTTTCCAGGCAACAGAAGAACTCCTCATTGCTGTAAATGGTTTTTTAAATGGCCCTTCTTCTCCGAGTTAGAATGGAATCTTTACCATGTTTTGAAACGGCCAGAGAGCTACAGGATTTGCGTTGCCAGAATCAACCTTGCCTTGTCTTCAAGGCAGTCTGTAAAGTCAGGGGTACTTTCCTTAGTATTTCAGAACTCTAAATTGGGTTTCCTTAGCAACTAATGAGAGCATCCTTTAGAATGCACTGTGTGAGGAGTTGGCAAACTCTTCTCAAAGGGACCAGAGAGAGTATTTTAGGCTTTGCAGTCCATAGGATTTCTGTTGCAACTATAGAATTCTGCCCTTGTAATGTGAAAGCAGCCATAAACAACACATAAACAAAGGAGCATGGCTGTGTTGAGCTTGGTTGTGTTTGTGACTTTCTTTACAAAAACAGGTGGTGGGCTGGACTTGGCCTGCAGGTTTGCTGACTCCTACCCTAGATTCATCTATGTAGTCAGTGAATTCAAGACCTCAACTCTCATTTTTCTCCTTTAAATTCCTAAGCAGCCTTCTTTCTAATATGGTTGTAACAGGATGAAAACAACTAGGTGAGAACTGGGGTGGTTTTAAACACTGTTTGTGTTGAATTGGTTTTTCTCGTTTGGACCTTCCCCTCTGTTTTTCTAGTCTAACTCAGTATGAACAGTTGAAAGCCCATCAGGGAACTGGAGCAGGAATTTCCCCGATGATCCTCAATTCAGGAGAGGGCAAAGAAGTAGATATTTTACGAATGCTCCTCAAGGCCAAAGACGAATACACAAAGGTGAGTGTTTGCCCTTCCTTGTGATACATACACACTTCAGTTCTGCAGTGGGAATATTCTTGTTTAGGAACACTAGGTGCTGTGGGTGCTGTTCCTTCCACCAAACGAAATTATATTACAAATAAAAAATCTTTATTTGCCTTTAGTAAGCTAAAGGAAACTGCCTTTAGATGGATTAAAAAATAGCCTGAGAAGTCAATAGCCTTCATATATACAAACAGAAGACTTACTACAAGACCCCAATTTACAGTAGCAACAAATGAATATAAAATTGTTTGCAATAAAATTCACAAGAAATGGATAAAACCTATATAAAGAAAATGTTTAAAAACTCCTGAAAGGTATAAAAATAGACTTGAACAAATGGAAACATACACCCTATTGTTGGATAAGAAGGTTCAACATAAAGCTCTTAAAAAAAAATCTCTACATTTAAGGTGATCGCTAAATAAATACCACTGGTTTCTTTTCAACCCCCTTCCCCACTTCTCCCTTACTCTCTGACCCAGACAAGTTGATTGTAAGGCTCATGGGAAGAAATATGCAAGAAAGAATAGCTGGGGAAATCCTGGCAAAGAAGAGCGATATTAGTAGGGGTTGGAGATGGGGGAGATGAGGGGGGATGGAGCAAACTCTCCCTGATTTTAAAACATTGAAGTCTAAACATTTCAAACAGTATGGTATTGATGGTATTGATACCTAACAGCCCAATAGACCAATGGGACAGATTTAAGATTCTAAGTCTAGGATTAAATCCAGTTGTATATGAAATGTAGGATATGATAAAGATGATAATCTCAAGTCAGCTATTTGAGTGAATTTTTAAATAAATGGTGTTGGGGCAAGTGGTAGCCATTTGGAAAAATACAAAATTGAGTCTGTACCTTACAACATACACCAGGATAAATTCCAAATGTATTAGAAATTTAAATGTAAAAATGTGATGATTCAAGTACCAGAAGAAAATCTGTATGGATTTCTTTATAATCTAGGAAAAGAGAAATCTTGTAGTTATGCCTTAAAACCCAAAAGCAATTAATTAAACTACATAAAAATAAAATAACATTTTACAAGGTTTAAATACAACACAAGCAAATAGAAAGATATAAAAACAACTGAGAAAAAAATTGTTTACACCAGAATAACAGGAAGGTTATTTTATGAAGAGCTCCTAAAAATTAAGAAGTACAAGATTAACACTAGAAAAATGGGCAAAAAATAAAAATTTTAAAAAATTATAGAATTTGGAAACTAGCTAAAATAAACGTATCTAACTGAATATCATATTATGATATAATTACTTAGAAAAAAATTAGAGTGACTTCAAAACCCGCTGCTTGAACTGAACACTCTTAGTGGGTTATATTTTAAGGACAAAAAGAACTGCAAGAAATTATAACTTCATTCATTGGTTTTATTGTTTATAGTAATGTTGTCATTTTAATTTTTCTACTGTTGGCATTGTAATTTTTCTACTGTTGTGGGTATAACAAATACGAAATTAGATAAACGTGGTTGGAACCAAAACCTTAGTGTAAGGGGGAAAAAAATCAAATCTAATAAGTTAAAACTATATATGATTAAGTGGAAATATCAGAATTAGTTCATGTTTTGTTTCTTAGGTATAGAAACAAAAAATAGAGTTTCTAACTGTTGCCCTGAAAGGACATAAAAATAAAAGTGGCAGTAAGCATCTATATCACCCAGATTGTTATTTCTAAATATTACTTCCTTCCAAAAGATGTCAGGGCTCTTTAAAGAAATTTCTGATTCCAGGTCTGGAATAGTAAAACCAATAGGGTCATGTGAAAGGGCACAGTAATCAGCTTCAAGGACACTGACCAGAGCATCAAATTCTTACATCAATAGGAATGACTGTAATGGATTAAAACACATTGAATGTATAAAAATCTGTTTCATAGTAATGAGAAAGAGAGCAAGCAAACCAAACATATAAAACCAAGCAGAATAATTATTAGTCATCCTTTGAAGGTGCTAAGGCACCAACCCCTTCCTCTGAAGCTTGGTAATTAATGGGAATGAATTAAGCTTTTATCCTGCCTGCCCTAAAGGGACTATATCTCAGAGTAATCAAACAGCCCTGGTCAATGAAGGAGAGCTCTTCTCTACCAAAGAATTCCAGCTGGTACATGTGGAGGGAATCATAGAACTTAAAGACACTCTAGTTAAAATAATTGATTCAGGCAGTGATCATCAGTAATATTAATGTTATGGGAAAGGTTGATAGAAACTTGACAGTGGAAGCGTCAGTCTGCCTCCACCTGAACCCCATTGATTATCATCATTAAAAGTTAGATAACCAGACACTCTGGCTTCCTAATGTGATAAGATGTCAAATGTACAGCACCGTCTTGAAATATTCTTGCCCAAAGAGTTGATCGTGAATCTCATTAAACCTTGAGCCCTAACTTTTTAGTTTACAGAAAGTGAAAGTGAGTGAGGGAGCGAGGGGAGACCAGGTAGAAAAACAAATTAAATGATGCCACGAGGAAGCAATCAGAAAAGTCCTGAATGAAGTGGCACATAAGAGCAGTTGGACAAGTTTCTTTAACATGCTTTGCCTTGACTGTGAGCTTCTTGAGTACAAAGAACGTCCTTTATCTTTATATCCCTTGTTGTCTTCAAAGTACTTAGCACATGATGAGTGCTGAATAATGGCTGTTGAATGAAGGAAGGAATCGGAATGTGAATGAGCCACAGTTTAATTCTCCTTCTATTGTGTGGCCTGGACAGAGATGCCTCAATCTCAGCTTCAGACACTAACAACTATTTCTATACTCATTTTGTGTTTTTTTAATTCTTCAAAAGTCATTAAAGTATATTATGATGACTTGGCAACTAGTTGAATAATTAGTTATACTTATTAATTATACTATATTATGCACACTAAAGATTAATCTTCAAAAGGTGATATTTCTGCCCTCTAGGAACTTAATGTTCGGTGAAGACAGCACAACAATGGCAAATAAATAATAAATAGAAATATTGAACACAACTATTTTCCTTTCTTTCCCTTCCTCCTCTCAACATACAAATACCTTGTATTGTTTCTGTTTTTTATCTTCTATACATTATAATGCTTTGATATCTCAAAATCCTTTCTGGCTGGGGAGACCGCCCCTCCTAGGGCCGGCCAGTTTTCAGAGATGGCAAAGGGCTTGGCAGGGAACACGCCTTTAATACGTACACTCGCCCATCTTGAGCGATCCATATCTCCTCTCTCTGGCCTGTATAATATTCCTTTGCCTTAATTATCCCAGGGCCGGGTACCCAGCAACTAGGGACCACTCACACAGTTCAGAGCCTGCTGGAGTTTCTCAGACTGGCCAGGCTTAACCTGTTTCCCGTGCCCTGCCTTGCCTACGCCTTCCCCTTGCTGCTGAGGCTTCCACATGTGGCCCTGTGCAGCGTGGCGTGCCTTTTGTCTGCAGGACCTGTGAGTATAATAAACTTTGTTTTCCTGAGACTCCCCTGGGTCTCCTCTGGCCTCACTGGAGTGACCACCACGTAAAAGAACGGCATACACATTCTGTCTCGCTCAGGAACACTCATATACGGTTCTGGAGATTTAATTTAGGCCATCACTTTATACTGTGCCTATGTCTTGGAATATTTTTCCCCTTATTTTATTTACCCTTCAGAATTTACATATCCTTTAAGGCTCAGTAAAAATGACACTTTTTACGTGGAGTTTTCCCAGATCTCTTCAGTCAAATTAATTACTCTTCCATGTGAACTCAGTCTATTACTATTTAAAACTTATTTTGTTCTTCCTCATTTATTACATTAAGTCAGCTTCTCCCAGTACACTGTAAACTGGTTGAAGTTAAAACAATGTTCTGTTCATCTTTATGCCCTCACAGATTTGTTATAATGTTGACATGCAGACACTTGATTCCTGTGTAGACGATGCTTTTCTGTAAAAATCAAATACATGTTGTTATATGTGTAATGTCAGTTGCTCCAACTGTGAGATAAATAGTAGAGGAAATTATTTCTTCTTCCATTAACAGCCAGATGTTGTGATACAGTGTGCCAGGACACCTGCATGATTATGCTACTTTCCTAGTCTACATTTTTCTTGGTTTGTCATTGCGCAGTACAGGAACCCTTGGAGTCTTCAAGCCTTCCCTAAGATGGCCTCGGATTATTCTTCTAACCCTACTACCCTCTACAAATATTTGAAGCTTCTGCCAAACAGAATACCCATTTTGCTTCCTGAGAGTGCTTTCATGGTTTTTCTCATACTGTTCCCTCCCCTTCTTCAGCCATCAAAATATGATCAATCTTTCAGGGCCCGTTTCAGATGTTCTTTTTCCATCACCGTATTTTTGGCCTGCCTAACTAGATGTGCATGCGCCCTGCTAGCTGCCAGCGCCTTATGTTTGGAAGGAGCATTCCATCGCCTTCTTACATTCGTGTTGTCTCTGCACTCACACACAGATATTTCAGAAAATGTGGAGACCCTGAGGAGAGTGGTTCTGAGATAGAAGAAAGGGGTGAAATGGAGAGGTGGTGAGAGAGAAGGAAAACAGAATTTTCCTTCAGAGTTATTGTTGGGAAGTGAGTCTCTGTTGCTTACAGTGTTCAAGAAGAGATTGAACCGTCACCTATTGGTGATGCAATACAATAATTTGGCTTGTGTTGGATAACTATTAAACTAAAAGACTTCTGAGATGCTTTTCAATGCTAGACTTACTTTTTTTGAAGTTTTATTTTTTAAATTATTTTTAATGAAAAATTAAAATTTTAGATATTTATGGTATACAATGTGATATTTTGATATGCATGTATATTATAGGATGCCTAAATCAAGCTAATTAACACATGTTTAACCTCACGTATTTATCATTTTTGTGTGGCAAAAATAGTTAAAATCTACTTTTTTAGCAACTTTCAGTATACAATATATTAGTAGTAACTAAAGTCATCATGATGTACAATAAATCTCCTGAACTTATTCCTCCTGTCAGATTGAAAGTTTCTATCCTTTGACCAACATCTCCAAAATCCTCCTACCCCCAGCCTCCGGCAACTACCAGCCTACTGTGCTTCAATGGGTTCAGCTTCTCTGGATTTCACGTGGGAGTGAAATCATACAATATTTGCCTTTCTGTGCCTGGTTTATTTCACCTAATGTCCTCCAAGTTTATCCATGTTGTTGCAAATGACAGAATTTCCTTCTTTTTTAAGGCTGAATAGTATTCCATTGTGTTTATATGCCACGTTTTCTTTATCCATTCATTCCTTGATGGACACTTAGGCTTATTCCATCTGTTGGCTATTGTAATGTTGCGGTGAACACAGGAATGCAGCTCTCTCTTCAACATACTGATTTCATTTTCCTGGATATATACCCAGAAATAACAAAAATTCTCCGATCATGTGGTAGTTCTATTTCTAATGTTTTGAGGGGCCAACATACTATTTTTTTTTTTCCTTTTTGAGACAGAGTCTCGCTCTGTCGCCCAGGCTGGAGTGCAGTGGCGCGATCTCGGCTCACTGCAAGCTCTGCCTCCCGGGTTCACACCATTCTCCTGCCTCAGCCTCCCGAGTAGCTGGGACTACAGGCGCCACCACCACGCCCAGCTAATTTTTTTTGTATTTTTAGTAGAGACGGGTTTCACCCTGTTAGCCAGGATGGTCTCCATCTCCTGACCTCGTGATCTGCCCACCTCAGCCTCCCAAAGTGCTGGGATTACAGGTGTGAGCCACTGCGCCTAGCCCAACGTACTGTTTTCCATAGTAGCTATGCTAACTAATATTCCCATCAACAGTATTCAAGGATTTCCTTTTCTGTACATCCTTGCCAACACTTACGTTTTGCCTTTTGGATGGTAGACATTCTACCAGGTTTGAGGTGATCTCTCACTGTGGTTTTAATTTGCATTTCCCTGATGATTAGTGATGTTGAGCATTTTTCATATACCTGTTGGCCACATGTATGTCTTCTTTTGAAAAATGTCCACTCAGGCCCTTTGTCTATTTTTTGATCAGAACATTTGTTTTCTTTTCCTCCTGTTCAGTTGTTTGAGATCCTTATATATTTTGGACATTAATCTCTTATCGTATGTATGGTGTGCAGGTATTTTCCTCCACTCCGTAGGTCATCTCTTCACTCTGTTGTTTCCTTTGCTGTGCAAAAGCCTTTTGGTTGGATGTAATCTCATTTGTCTCTTTTGCTTTTGTTGCCTATCCTTAGGGTCACATCAAAAAATCATTGCCCAGACCGATGTTAGGAAGCTTTTCTCCTGTTTTCTTCCAGTAGGTTTATAGTTTCAGGCCTTATGTTTAAGTCTCTCTAGAATTCTTAAAGTTGTGAACATCCCAAGAAGCGGAAGTAGGAAAAATGTCGAGCTCTCAGTATATATGATACTGGTAAAGTGAAGTCTGTCTAGTTTACAGGAGGTTAATAAAATAATTTGAAAACTTATTTTGGCCGAAATTTTGTGCATTCTCTTTTGAGAAAAAACTTTATGTGAATCTGCTTTAAAGTAGCAAAGATATTAATTTGCATTTAATCTCTTTTTATATCCGCCCTATTCAATTTCTAGTTGAGATGCGAGTGAACAATAAAATAACCAAATTTTAGTAAGAACAAGAGTCAGGACCAGAAATGATCTACAGGCTGCATAGTTAGGCTTGGAGTATTCAGAAGTGGACTATTTGTGTTTTGTGGTTTAAGACAATAATTAATGGCTCTTTTCTGGATATAGCTGTGAGTTATTTATGAAATTACAGAAATTTTTTTGTTGAATGATAAAATTCAACAGAATATAAAAAGAAAAATCACCAATAATCCTATAACCCAAAGATAGAAACTTTTTACACTTTTATTGTATTTTGTTTCAGACGTCTCTCTTGGCATAAATACATATGTTTATGTATGTATGTATTTGTGTGTGATTAAAACTGGATTATATGACATACTTTTTGAGGTTTTATTGTATTTTAACCTCAGCATCCAACAGAGGAAGTTTTTGAGGTTTTAAAGAAATGCCTTGCCAGGCGTGGTGGCTCAAGCCTGTAATCCCAGCACTTTGGGAGGCTGAGGCGGGTGGATCACGAGGTCAGGAGATCGAGACCATCCTGCCTAACACGGTGAAACCCCGTCTCTACTACAAATACAAAAAATTAGCCGGGCGTGGTGGCGGGCGCCTGTAGTCCCAACTACTCAGGAGGCTGAGGCAGGAGAATGGCGTGAACCCGGGAGGCGGAGCTTGCAGTGAGCTGAGATCGCACCACTGCACTCCAGCCTGGGCGACAGAGCGAGACTCCCTCTCAAAAAAAAAAAAAAAAGGAAATGCCTCAGGTTCTCTGTGAAGAATCCATTATGTACTTTTTCAGTAACTGTTTTTCCCCCAGGATTTTAAAGATATTTGGGTCGGGAAAAGCATAGAAAATTAAACAACTGGAAAATGAGCTACAAACTACTGAGGTGGATGATTAATTCTGAGCACTCTGATAAGAGGGAGCAGTTGTTACATAAAAGCAAGACTTTGTGGGTAGACAGTTGTAGTGACACAGAAAACAGCTTCTGGAGATACATTTTAACTAGGAAAAGCTATCAGGGTTACGCATATAAACAGACAAAGCAGCCTCTTAGCCCATATGGATATGGGCATAGGGAAGCTGGGAAAAATCTGCTTTTCTTTGCCGGATAATCAGTGTTTCTGAACATAGAAAAAGAAGAAATACAGAAGGGGTCATTCAAAGAAAGTAAGCATTCACGTTCTTTTAAATAGCAAGGCTTTTCATGCCGGAATTGTGTAAGGGATTACATCTTAGCCTGTATTCTTGTCTTATCTTGGTTCTCCATGAGTTGGGAAAGCCAGGCCAGTTGGTCCGTGCAGCCCGTACCATCATTCACCTAAGAAGAATTGGAAAGAACACTTTATGACTTATAAGGTGATTTCACATCCCACATAATACTTGTGCTGAATATAGAAATTATTGACGGAATGCCCGGAAGAAAATGATTAATGTTTTGTATGGTTAACCTCACCGTGCATATAGTGGTAATAGATGCCACACCCCTAGATTGCTGGATTAGAAAATACACATTGGTAACTGTAAAATACATTGGGAATGCTGGGTTCCTGAGGGACAAGACTATGTTTATGTCTCATTTCATGTCCGGTACAGTGTGGAATAATTTGGGGCCTGAAGCCTTGGTTGTACAGTGGAAACTAATGATGCTTCAGAGAGTGTAGTACAGAAAGCAGCATTTCATGTTGTTTTATTTAGTGTTTTCACAAACTAGACACCAGTATCATTGCCATGCTCTTTTTGTTATGAATCCTACTGTGTTAGCAATTGCATGGTTGGTTAGATTAATATATGATAATGAGTCAGTGTTGGAAATGATGAGATTTGTGTCTTGTCTCTTTCTCTACAAAATTCTAATTTGTAGTAAGTGGCTCAGAATGCTCAGATTTGAATTATTCTGTTTATGCAAGAAGTCATTTATTAAATAAAGATGATGTTAGTAATTTTTAAATCAGTGATTTGAGTCAGCTTTTTGGTTTGTAGACCAAGAAAGGTTTAGGTGCCTTGTCACTCTCCAGTTTTAAGTCAACTGCTTAAATTGTCCAGACATGTTATTTAAGGAATGGTTTCTATATTTGTTTATCATTGAAAGGCATTAGACTACATATATTTAAATGTATAGTCGATACATTAAGCATAGAACCTTTCAATTATACAGGTGTCTAAGAACCCCTGGTCCTGGAGGCTGGTGGTGTTAGTATTATTTAGAGCACTGAATTGTCCAACTACGAAAAATTAAATTTGAACTTGATTTATACTCAAATATAGCTCTTAGAGAAATTTAAGAGATTTTGTTTTTTGCATGAAAATCTATCAAAAACACAGCCATCTACAAATTTGATAAGAAGTAAAAAGGTAGTCTTTTAAAAAGACTAAATCTTTTCTAAGCCAAAAACGAGGTGATTTTTTTTTCTGTTTCAGTGTAAAACCTGTTCTGAGCCAAAAAAGATAACCAGTTCCTCTGCCATCTATGACAATCCCAATCTCATCAAACCAATTCCAGTGAAACCCAGTGAAAACCAGCAACAGCGTATACCTCAGCCCAACCAGGTACGGAGTCCTCTGCTTGTCGTATTCAGTGTGTCTCTAGAATTCTTAAAGAACTTTGACCCAGAATATAGTCAGGGGAGGGCCTGGTGTTGTTGAAGAATGCTTTCAGGTAAACCCAAGAAAGAGGGATTTCAAAATACAGAGATTTTTTCATTATTAATAACTTACTCTTCCTAGAAGAGGGTTCAAGTTTTTACTTTTGGCATATACCACATTCTTTGCTAATCTCTTGTGAACTTGAACTCCTTAAAAGATAATGTATTTTTAAAAAAACAACACACAGTGCTCAAGCCTGTAATCCCAGCACTTTGGGAGGCCGAGGCAAGAGGATCACTTGAGGCCAGAAGTTTGAGAGCAGCCTGGGCAACATAGTGAGACTCCATCTCCACAATAAAATTAGCCCGGCATGATGGCGTGCATCTGTAGTCCTAGCTACTCTGGAGGCTGAGGCGGGAGGATCACTTGAGCTCAGGAGTTTGAGGTTACAGTGAGCTATGAGATGTGCCACTGCACTCTACCCTGGGCAAGAAAGCAAGACCATGTCTCAGAAAACAAAAACAAACAAAAAAACACCCTAGAAAACTAATAACATTGTCAGAGATGACAGAAACATTGGGTCTATATTCTTCTGGGGTGGGTGGTTTCCCTAGGCCACCTAAGAGAACAACAACCAAGGCAACAAAATTGAGTTGAACACTTCTGAGCACCTCCTCTGTGCCAGATGCAGTGCTAGCACAATAGATGGGGGTAGCTGCTGCAGAGAGCTCAGAGTCCAAAGGAATGGTATAAAATTCCTCTTCAGACATGATGACTTGTCACTGTATTTGCAATCTAAATTAGAAATATTATAGCAACTTTTGTATTTGTGTGTGTGTGTGTGTGTGTGTGTATATATATATTTCAGAATAGTACAGCAGTGACAAAAATTGTCAGTCTACAGGTCCCATTAATGATTGTAAATATAATATTGCTGTGTCATTTTATCACGACTATGACTAATTAAAAAGATTTTCTTAAAGGAATTAGTTTAAATCAATTTTGAAAATGAACATGGAGCCAAAAGACATAAAGACTAGTAATGAAAATCTTATATTGAATTTTTAAAGAGAAGAAATCTAATTTTTAGCTTTCTTTTTATTGCTTGTTTTCCATGGAAAGTTTTTATTATATTTTGATAGCGAGACCTGAATATGTTGACTTTAAAATGAAGCTCGTGTTTTCTTTTCTTTTCTTTTTGAGACAGGGTTTCATTCCTGTTACCCGGGCTGGAGTGCAGTGGCACCATCTCAGCTCACTGCACCTCTGTCTCCTGGGCTCAAGCAATCCTCCCACCTCAGCCTCCCGAGTAGCTGGGAGTACAGGCGTGTGCTGCCACATCCGGCAATTTCTGTATTTTTTGTAGAGATGGGGTTTCGCCATGTTGCCCAGGCTGGTCTTGAACTCCTTAGCTCAAGCAGTCTGCCTGCCTTGGCCTCCCAAAGTGCAGGAATTACAGGCATGAGCCACTGTGCCTGGCCTCCTGTTTTCTCAGTGCAATAATGCGGAAAGCAACATAAGTAAAAAGCAGGAAGGAAGTAGCTTTGTAACTGGCTGGGCCAAGGTAGATTTTATGTATCCAAGGACTTTTTAAATCCTACTGGTATATATTTGAAAAGATCAAGTTAGATTAAAAGTCTTCCGTTTCTTTCCGCCCTAGATTTCCATAATTCTGTGAACAACTACTAGAAATTCTGAAATTCTTATATGCCTTTGTATTCTCATATTACTCTGCAGGCTTAGATGGACTTCCTATTAAAGAGATTGTTTATTTTTTTTAGTGCATATAATTTCCTACCAAGGTGGTTCCCAATCTGTGAAACCCCAGGCCCTTAAAGACCTTATACCTATTTTATCAGTCAACAGATAGTAAAATATAACAACTGTTTTGGGGGTGTACGGGATCATGCTGTGAAAATTTTTGACATTAAAAAGGGGGTCTTTAAAGTTGATTATAAGTTTTTCATTCTCTCTAATCCTTTGTAAATAGAATAAATCATCAGAGAAGTTATGTTTCATAGTACTCCCTTATATAACCAAATTGTTTGTAGACTCATGTCAGGTATCTTTATTTTTTCCAGACCTTAGACCCTGAACCCCAACACTTATCCTTGACAGCTCTGTTTAGGAAGCAGGACAAAGCTACATGTCAGGAAACTGTGGAGCCTCCACAGACTCTCCACCAGCAGCAGCAGCAGCAGCAAGAGAAGCTTCCAATTAGGCAGGGGGTTGTACGCTCCCTGTCCTATGAGGAACCCAAAAGACACTCACCCTCTATCGAGAAGCAGCTCTGTCCAGCCATTCAGAAACTCATGGTCAGGAGTGCAGACCTCCACCCATTGTCAGAGCTGCCTGAAAACCGGCCGTGTGAAAATGGCAGTACCCCTTCTGTGGAAGAAGTTTTTACAGGACCCGTCCAGCCAGGGTCTCACAACGGTGGGATTTATCGTGGTGTACAAAATGCTTCGAGAACTCAGAACCTGTTCGAGAAACTTCAGAGTATCCCAGGGACAGCAAACAAGTGTGACCCTAGTACACCAGCACCTGCTGGCTCAGCTGCCCTGAACCGCAGCAGAGCTCCCACTTCTGTCACCCCTGCGGCTCCAGGAAAGGGTCTGACTCAGCCACCACAGGCCTATTTCAATGGGTCCCTTCCACCTCACACAGTAGGACGTCAGGCACATGGAAGAGAACAGTCCACACTCCCAAGACAAACACTCCCCATCTCTAGTAATCAGACTGGCAGTTCTGGAGTGATCTCCCCTCAAGAGCTACTGAAGAAGCTTCAGATTGTGCAGCAGGAGCAGCAGCTGCATGCCTCTAACCGGCCGGCCTTGGCCGCTAAGTTTCCTGTGCTCACTCAGAGCTCTGGAACAGGGAAACCCTTGGAATCCTGGATCAACAAGACATCCAGCACAGAACAGCAGACTCCTCTTTTCCAGGTAAATCTGTACTGGGGCAAAATAAAACAGCCTGGGCAGCATAGCAAGACCCTGTCTTTAAAAAAAAAAAACTTAGCCGGGCTTGGTGTCACAGGCCTATAGCCCCAGCTACTCGGGAGGCTGAGGTAGGAGATTCCCTTGAGCTCAAGAGGCGGAGGTTACAGTGAGCCATGATCGTGCCACTGCACTCCAGCCTGGGTGGCAGACCGAGACCCTGTCTGTTAGGAAAAAGAAAGACAAAGAAAAAGGTATTACTATAATGCAGTGAAATTTAGAGACCACTTCTGTGCTCTAGGGACCAGCGTGTCACGTACATTTCTGTTTGGAGCAGGCTGCCGGAAGCCACCTCCATGCATCTTGATTGCCTGAACTTTCTACCTGGAAGGAGAATCTTCACCTTGGTTAACAATCTGAGAACTTCCCCCCCACCTTTTTGAGAGCATTTACTTATAGAGTTAAATCTTCATAATGTTAGGAGGTCTGAAGACCAACACAGACATGGGAGAAAACCCTAAGTTTTGACTATAGGAACTTAGTATGATCTGCCTTGAAATCAATCTGGAGTGCCAAGCATCTGACCGCTTCTTGTTTTTCAGTCCACAGTAAATTATTGCTTATTCACTTATTTAGTGAATATTTTTGAGCACTTACTGTGTGTCAGGCATTGTCTACATGTGGGTGCATAATGATGAAGAGAACAGACTCCTTACCTCTACCCACAGCCCATGCTGTAGGTTCTTGAAATAAACAAAAAACAGCCTATTTCCTCCTTAAAGGTGCAGCCTGTTTTTATCCTTCTCTGTATCGTCAGTATAGCCTACTGCAGATCAGGAGAGACGCACATGCCACCCACTTCCTCCCCCCACACAAACTGCCAGAGAGGGAGAATATGACCGTTTTTAGAAATACTCTGTCCTTTGGGGAAGACGCTTCTCCATGTCTGTCACTGACTTCGGACAGTGAGGAAACCACAAGCTAGTGATCATCTGCCTGTGGGTAACATCTGGAGATCTGACACTGAATTGTTTTCCCTTTGGATTGGAACACATTCATTGAAAGTACATTGGGTTTAAAAATCGGGAAGTTCTTCCTGTGTATCACATATCTAATCACTGGCCCTTTGTTATGTTTTGTTGTATACCTTTTTTTTTTGTTTTTTGAGATGGAGTTTCACTCTTGTTGCCAGGCTGGAGTACAATTGTGCGATCTCGGCTCACTGCAACATCCACCTCCTGGGTTCAAGTGATTCTCCTGCCTCAGCCTCCTGAGTCGCAGGGATTACAGGCACCTGCCACCACACCCGGATAATTTTTTGTGTTTTTTTAGTAGAGATGGGGTGTCACCATGTTGGCCAGGCTGGTCTCGACCTCTTGATCTCAGGTGATCCACCCACCTTGGGCTCCCAAAGTGCTGGGATTACAGTCGTGAGCCACTGCACCTGGCCTGTTATGTAATTTATAACAGTTTCTCAAAAATCTTTCACTTTTGGCTGGGCATGGTGACTCATGCCTATAATCCCAGCACTTTGGGAGGTTAAGATGGGAGAGAATCACTTGAACCCAGGAGTTTCAGACCAGCCTGGGCAACATAGTGAGACCCTGTCTCTACAAGAATTTTCTGTTTTTAATTAGCCGGGTGTGGTGGCACACCTCTGTGGTCCCAGCTACTTGGGAGGCTGAAGTGGGAAGATTGCTTGAGCCCAAGAGGTTGAGGCTGCAGTCAACCATGTTCGCACCACTGCATTCCAGCCTGGGCAATAGAGTGAGACCCTGTCTCAAAACAAAAAATTCAATTTTCTGAAAACAAAGATCTTAGGCATGGACCAAAAGTCTTTGTGAGCCCCTGAGTCCAAGTGTTCTCGTTTATTATTTATTAACATCCCAAATCTGAGTACTGACTGCTCTAGGAACAATATTTGTAACTCCCACTCCCCCTCATTTCGGTGTTATTGTCCCTCTTTTAAAAATGTCTGCTTTTTTCTCTTTGATGATTTAGAATGAGAAGAATGGGGTGAATATAGTCTGACTTAAATTTCTGATGTACAACTCCTTTGACTTTTCAGTACTCACAAATATCAAGAGCCAAGTGAGAAAGGCAAGCATTGCAGCAGCCCACGCTGTGCTCAGAATGCCTGACTCCTCCTCCGGGAGCACCACTGCTCAGCGCCGCTCCTCGGAATGTCACGTAGGGACAGGTTAAAAGAGACAGCCTGCCTTCCTCTAGGCCAACTTCTGCTCCAAGAGGTGCTGAGGGATTGATGATAAAATTACAGCACCTTCTAGCTTGCCGGCCTCCGTGCCTCCCTCTTAGGAGTTCTTTTGGGGAGTTTGGAGGCTGAGAAATAACATTCTTTTTCTTCCCTGAGTTAGAAGCAAATGATAGCTGTAGGAGTCAGTCAGATTAGGATCAAAATGTCACTTGCATAACTGAAAGGGCTGTTAGAAAACTTGGTTTCAGGTCTGTTTGCCAAGGGAGTTAGACTCACCAGACAGGCCCTGGCAGGGCTGAGCAACAGGCAGCCTGGTCACCCCAAACACATCAGCTGCAGAAGCGGAAGACGCGGGCTCTCTGCAGGCAGGCGGGTCGTGTCGGGGAAGGACCCAGAAGGGGTGGAACCCACAAGTCACTCTCCCTCCCAGTGAGAAGCGAGTGAGGCCGCAGGAGGAGGGGACTTGCTCTCACAGCGCCTCCTGTGCTCCGGGGTCAGGAGGGGAAATGGGTAGGCCCCTAACAAGGGTGGCAGGTCCCACAGGTTGTGAGACCTTTAGGTCAGAGTCATGGACAGCCAGGTCTAAGGAAAAGGTCAGTAGTCCTAAATGCACTTGCCAGATACTAGTAGCCTGAAAAATAAGCTGTCACCCAGAGGCCAGGCTTCATATGCAGTGGGAGCAGCCACCACAGCAGACGATACCAGAGCTGCTCAGTGATGCCAAAGGAAGGTGCACGGAGAGTGGAACAAGAATCAGTTACTCGTAGACTTCTCAGCTAGGGAAGCTGTGGACAGGGCATGCTTAGACCACCTGTATTTGCCACTGCAAGCTCTCATGCCATGAGCTACTCCTGAGCCCCGCCCTCTGTGTGTATTTGCTGCGATGCCGTGAGCTGTTCCTGAGCCGCGCCCTCTGTGTATTTCCTGTGAGCAGGTCATCTCACCTCGGCGCATCCCTGCTACAGCAGCTCCTTCTCTGCTCATGTCCCCCATGGTGTTCGCACAGCCCACTTCTGTCCCGCCAAAGGAAAGGGAGAGCGTCCCCTTGCCTGTGGGAGGCCAGGAGCCACCTGCTGCCACCACCAGCTTCCTCCTGCCCATACAGGGCCCAGAGCCCTCCGTGGTCACCAGCAGCCCACTCACCAAGCTCCAGCTCCAGGAGGCACTGCTGTACCTCATTCAGGTAAGCGGGCACATCGTCTGCCTTTGCTCCTGACTGCGCCAGTTGGCCTCCTGGCTGCAACTATGAGATAAAGACTCAGCCAAGGCCTGCTTAGCTTCCGTGAGAATAACAGGTGTGTGTAACAGCTCGTCCTGACCCCAGCGGCTTCTGTGCTCCGTTAGTTCGGTGTTATTTATGATACCAAGTGTGGCTTTGGGTGTCTCAGCTTTTCAAGGATTTTGTAATGTGAAGGACTCTAAGGCCTCCAAGCTGTCACCTGTCAGAAGAGAAGGAAGCATACGCTGGGAATTAAGCAGTCCCTGAGAGGACCCTTGGTGCTACTGGGGGCCCACACAGAAAACTCACCATTGGGAAGTAGAGGTGGGAGCAGTCCTGGGCAAGGGGCCGCCTGCTAAGTGGGGAGCAGGCCACTGAGCGAGTGGAAAACAGGGAGGGAAGCAATAATGGCCATGGCTGCTACAGGTGTGTTTTACGAGTCATTCTGAAACCTACTCATTAGGACGGGATGGAGTGACAGGACTCCTTGTGAGCCGCTTGCCTCACTTGTCTATGAAATTATGAAATAATATAATGAGTGCTGTAATAGCTAGCACTCCACAGAGCTGGTGCCGGGCCGTGTTTTAAGTGCTACACACCTATTAACTCATTTACTCCTTTACACAACAACCCTGTTATTTTTCCCATTCTACAGACAAGGAAACTGAGGCTGAGCAACTGGCCTAAGGCACAGAACTATAAGCAGAGCTGGGATGCCCCCTAGCCTGGCCCCCGAGTGCCACTTCCCACGTACTCTCCTGTGGCCCTTGAATGTTACCAGGGACCAGCCTCGGGAGAACATTCAGCACAGGTGCCCTAGCAAAGCACACCCAAAAAAATCAATGGTAGTCCTTGAAAAGTGGAACATTTGTAACCAGACAGACTTCAGATACCCCAGTTAACATATCTAAGTGTCTTTTTGGTAGATAATCTTTAAGAAAACTTCCGTGGTACTTTGCTTAAGCATCAGATGTTCTTCAGAGAGCAGACCAGCCCCTTCTGTGGTTGTCTTGTCCTACTTAAAAAGACAATGGTCTCGATTAGTACAACATTTTTTAAAAGGTTATGTGTTGGCCAGGCACAGTGGCTGCTCATGCCTGTAATCCTAGCACTTTGGGAAGCCAAAGTGGGAGCATTGCTTGAGGCCAGGAGTTCGAGACCAACCTGAGCAACATAGTGAGACTACAAAAGAAGGAAACATGTTTGAGGGAGAATGAAAGGAATGGGGTAGAAATCAGCAGAAGCATAATAACAATCAGAGATAAATACGGCAAATGATTGAGCGTTACTAATTCATAAATAAGTATCAGGATAAAAATACTTGCCACCTTTTAACGCTATTCATGGTAAGTTCCTGAGGAATTAGATAGGACATCTGGGAACCTCTTTACTTTGAGCCAATTTCTGAAGTTTGAATTTAAAAGAGTCATATGCTTTCTGGCTGATTCCATTCACATCGTCTTGAGACTGTTACTCCAGAGCAGTTGCTGAACATGGCAGGTTAGAAATTACATTCCCCTTCCCTCCACTGTCTGCATGCATCGTACTTCTTCCCATGTGCCACACCTCATATTCCCAGTCACTCAAGCAGTCTGTTTGTAGTCTCTGCCTCTTGTTAGGACACAATCTCATGCATAGGAACTTGGTGACTACTTTGTAGGAAAAAGAGGGATAACATCACTCTCTTCATTACATGAGAATGATGCTAACTCTGTGTGGGATGCCAAGAGAGAATGAAGGGGGAATGTGAAGTGTGGGTGAATTACTAACACTGTAAAGAATTTGGGTGGGAGGGAGAAGTCTCTAGAATTAAAAAATGAGGAAAACCACTGATTAGACCATGATTCTCACTTCTTAGCCAGGCAAAAGAGCCCAGAGATTACCAGTCTTACTCCTGCCCACTTGCAAAGGCCAGAAACTTTCCATAACTTATGGGAAGACTTATATTGGCTTTGATGAAGTATTGATGAAGGATATTGCAAGTACAATCCTAAGTAATGCCCAAAACAAAGTAGACACATTGTAGGTGACTTGGAGGGCCTTTTAAGAACCACAGTGGCTCATGCCTGTAATCCTAACACTTGGGGGGCCAAAGTGGGAGGCTCACTTGAGCCCAGGAGTTCAAGGCCACCCTGAGCAACATAGTGAGACCCCGTCTTAAAAGAAAGAAAAGCCAGTCACGGTAGCATGCAACTGTAGCCCTAGCTACTCCCGAGGCTGAGGTGGGAGGATCGCTTGAACCCATGAGGTGGAGGCTGCAGTGAGCTATGATGGGACCACTGCACTTTAGCTTGGGTGACAGAGTGAGACCCAGTCTCAAAAACCCCAAAAACAAGAAACCAAAAACACACCACAGCAATCTCTTAACCAAACTTTGGTTAAGAGACCACTGACTTGGATCACGTCCTCCTAACGCCATGTCTTTTCAGGCAGCAGACTCAGGCTGTTCTTGAGTAAACCTTGCTCCATGCTGCCATGTGGCTGGGCTGCCCATCTGTGCTGCATGTAATGAGCTCTTGCTACTGTGCGCACTGACTGTGGAAAACCATCAGCTCTGTCCAGCCTTGCCTTCAGCCCCACTTAACATTCACACGTGCAATTAAAAACCACCAGCTGTTAGATCAGACAGGGAGAGATGAGTGTCTCAGTATCCAAATGCCAGTTCAGCTCTAAGACAGAGGAAGCCTTTTGTGTCTGCCAACCAAGTTACATTCTCTTGGGTCTTTCGATTTGTTTTCCAGAACGATGACAACTTCTTAAATATAATCTATGAAGCCTATCTCTTCAGCATGACTCAAGCAGCCATGAAAAAGACTATGTGACAGCAAGTCGGTTTGAAACTGATTTTCAAGGTCCTTCTAGAACTCTGGCACAAGGTCCTTTCATGTTGAGTGTGGTTTCCTTCAATGTTTCTGCCTTTTTTAAAAAAAGTCTGTATAATAGGAAGTAAAATGTTTCAGATTTTTTTTTATAGTCAAGTGTTTTTTATTATACTTTAAGTTCTGGGATACATGCACAGAACGTGCAGGTTTGTTACATAGGTATACACGTGCCTTCGTGGTTTCCTGCACCCACCAACCCGTCATCTACATTAGGTATTTCTCCTCATGCTATTCCTCCCCTAGTCCCCCACTCCGCGACAGGTCCCAGTATATGACATTCCCCTCCGTGTGTCGATGTGTTCTCATTGTTCAGCTACCACTTGTGAGTGAGAACATGCGGTGTTTGGTTTTCTGTTCCTGTGTTAGTTTGCTGAGAATGATGGTTTCCAGCTTCATCCATGTCCCTGCAAAGGACATGAACTCATTCTTTTTTATGGCTGCATAGTATTCCATGGTGTATATGTGCCACATTTTCTTTATCCAGTCTCTCACTGATGGACATTTGGGTTGGTTCCAAGTCTTTGCTATTGTGAATAGTGCTGCAGTAAACATACGTGTGCATGTGTTTTATAGTAGAATGATAATCCTTTAATTATAGTAGAGTTACAATCCTTTGTGTATATACCCTGTAATAGGCAGAGTTATAATCCTTTGGGTATATACCCAGTAATGGGTAATAATTAGAGTTATAATCTTTTGGGTATATACCCAGTAATAGGATTGCTGGGTCAAATGGTATTTCTGGTTCTAGATCCTTGAGGAATCACTACACTGTCTTCCACAATGGTTGAACTAATTTACACTTCCACCAACAGTGTGAATGTGTTCCTATTTCTCCACATCCTCTCCAGGATCTGTTGTTTCCTGACTTTTTAATGATCAGCATTCTAACTGGTGTGAGATGGTGTCTCATTGTGGTTTTGATTTGCATTTCCCTAATGACCAGTGATGATGAGCTTTTTTTCATATGTTTGTTGGCCACATAAATGTCTTCTTTTGAGAAGTGTCTGTTCATATACTTTGTCCACTTTTTGATGGGGTTGTTTGTTTTTTCTTGTAAATTTGTTTAAGTTCCTTATAGATTCTGGATATTAGCCCTTTGTCAGATGGGTAGATGGCAAAAATTTTCTCCCATCCTGTTCACTCTGATGATAGTTTCTTTTGCTGTGCAGAAACTCTTTAGTTTAATCAAATCCCATTTATCAATTTTGGCTTTTGTTGCCATTGCTTTTGGTGTTTTAGTCATGAAGTCCTTGCCCATGCCTATGTCCTGAATGGTATTGCATAGGTTTTCTTCTAGGATTTTTATGCTTTTAGGTCTTAAACGTTTAAGTCTTTAATCCGTCTTGAGTTAATGTTGTATAAGGTGTAAGGAAGGGATCCAGTTTCAGTTTTCTGCATATGAGTAGCCAGTTTTCCCAACATCATTTATTAAATAGGGAATCCTTTCCCCATTGCTTGTTTTTGTCAGGTTTGTCAAAGATCAGAGGGTTGTGGATGTGTGGCATTATTTCTGAGGCCTCTGTTCTGTTCCATTGGTCTATATATCTGTTCTGGTACCAGTACCATGCTGTTTTTGTTATGTATAGTTTGAGGTATAGTTTGTAGTATAGTTTGAAGTCAGGTAGTGTGATGCCTCCAGCTTTGTTCTTTTTGCTTAGGATTGTCTTGGCTATATGGGCTCTTTTTTGGTTCCATATGAAATTTAAAGTAGTTTTTTCTAATTCTGTGAAGAAGCTCAGTGGTAGCTTGATGGGGATAGCATTGACTCTATAAATTACTTTGGGCAGTATGGCCATTTTGATGATATTGATTCTTCCTATCAAT